GCTGGTCGTGCTCGCAGCAGAGGCGGCCGCGGGTGTGCTCGGGAGAAGGGCCGCCCAAGGCTGACCTCATGGCCTTCAGCCCCAGCCTGCCTCCGGGTCCCAGCTCTGCAGATGCAATGGAAGTTCCTCAAGCTCCTTTGGACTCTTCTGGGAAGGTTGGTGGTTTTAGCATTTTATTTGTCTGCATATTTATTATTTTATCTTGAATAAAATGTGTTACCACAAAAGGTACATAAATACTTTCCCCATTTGGTAGAACCCTCTTTATTTGCAGAGACAAATACTTAATCTTCCTAGTGCTTACTTTTTGTGTAACACTTCCTGTTGAGAACCATTATAAACCATACATTGAACAAATTCAAACGTCCTTAATAACTTATTTAAAATATGTTGTGGGAGTCTATTGGCTTATTAAAGTAGAGGTGGTTCTGTACAGGTAAGCCAGCAAGTTGAAGCCAATTATTTCTTACAAATTAAGTAAAGGCAACATCACTAATTTCAAAGTACTAGTGGTGCTTTTTTCTTAACCCGTGTTAATAAGAAAGGAGATGTTTGTGTCTCCTTTGAGGTTGATTTTGTGATTTTTCACACCCCCCCTCCCATGAGACTGCCCATGAGCATGTTTTATTAGCTATAAACTGAGGAGGTTACTCCCAGGATGCACTATAAAACAATTCACCTTGAGAATCCAAATCTTAAATTATTGTTTTAAATATAGATCTCATTCAAACATATTTGAGATATGTTAATATTGGACCATGTGGAGACACAAAATGTAGCCACAAATTTTCCTACACTTAGAAAATTTCTTGAAATTCGTATGTCATCTCATATGGACAAAAATTGCTTTCTGACAGGTACTCTTTGTTCAATAAGGCCTTTTCCTTTCTGATGAAAATTTCTGCTTGAGATGTAATGCTTAGGCTTTAGAGAGGTACCTACAGTCTACATTTTGAATTTTCTTGAAGTTCATAGCCTGGAACTTAAAAATATTACCCCTGCCAGTTTATTTGAGGATTTCACTATTTGAGCAATAACCCAAAAGAGCTATCTGGAGATGAAATCTTTAAAGTTCCTCTTTAAAGTCACTGCATGTTATGACTTGTTTTTAAATTGTAGTTGGTGACTTATAAATTGGTGGTTCTATCTTTAGTTCAAGCTTTTATTTTCTCTTCTATTTGTATATTTTGTTTTATTGCTTTTTAAAAGATTTATTTATTTATACATACAAGAACTGTGGTTTAGGCCAGAGGAGTGGGGTTTAGAGGATTCACCAGAGATAGAGTGAGGAGCAGAACAGGCAGAATGACTGAAATACAGTGCTGAGGTGAGCAATGAACAAGACAGGAGAGGTCTACTGGGACATTTGGATCACCTCTGTGGCCAGGGATTGAACTTGTGCTGCAGTGTCTGCAGATAACTTCATAGCTCTGTGCTTTACCTCTTGAGTCACCAGGGAGGCTCCTATTTGTGTATTATTAAACTGCTGTGTACTTTTAGTTTTGTTATGTTGTTTAAATTTCCTCAGCTGCACTTCCTTTTTGGTTAATTAGGCATCTTATTTCTTAATAAGCAAAACAAACAAAAAATATTCAACAGAGCAGAATCAGAGTTGTTTTGAGAATAGGGCCACAGTATAAGCATGGAAATGTAAGTGAACTAAAAAATTTCCATATCTCTCTCTCCCCTCTTTTCCTGTTGAACACGTGTTTGGCACATGCACAAAGCAACCCATTTTTTTTTCAAATTTTCATTGATATTTTGAGTATTGTCAGTGGTCAAATCTGTCTGTCAGCATAACTCTCCTTAAATCTATATATCTGTCCCTGCACTTTTTTCAGGTTCTATGTCACTTGAACTTTGCTTGTGTATATGGAAAAGGTGCTAGAAACCCAACCTCCATCACTCCTTTAGTCTCTTAGGGTTAATTGTAAGTGCTCACTATGTCTTTTATAATTGTAAGTTGTATTCTTTGTTACTGATGGCTATATTGATTAAAGTTGGTAATTTAGTTCTTTATTCACAGTTCAAACAGATGTGAGAGCATGGAAAATACCTAGATGTTTGGTCTAGGTAGCTCTCCCTCTTTGCTTCTATGGGTAATATCTCTCAATTCAAGTCAGAATCATGAAATCAATAATGAAGCTCCCTTATGTTTGGCCCTAGGTTGGAGTAACTAAACAGGACTAACTAAATTATGACCCAAATCTTTTGAGAGTGAGAGGGGCACAACTAATAAATACACGAGATCAGAAATGTAAATGGCATGTGTCCCAGGCAAATTGGGGCTTATGTTTACCATACTCTCAGACCTGATGCTGGTACCTCCTGGAGTTCTATCAAATATTCTGATAATCAGATGACACCTCAGATTTCTGAATTCAGCACTAGCAAATTTCTATTATAACAAACACTCTAGTTGATTCTTATCCACCTGAAGTTTTTTTTTTCAGAATTAATTTTTTATTTAAATAGTTTTTTTTTTCCTTATTGGACTTTTGGGTCTTGGATCCATAGCCATATGAGATGTTTGGCAAAGCGAGTTTCTACTATTTGGTGGGATGTTATTTAACTACACTCTATTTTTTTTGTTATTATTGGAGGTTTAGATTAGCACATTTATTATTTGGTCTAAAACGTACCTTAACTTGAATGGAGCTTAGTTTATGTCATTACCTTTTTTAAGATAATTAATAAAAGATAAATTTATTTTAGAGTCCAAATAAGAGCTGAAACTGAACATTGGTACTCTAAATGGATAATTTACATTTTAATTCATGCTTTAAAAGAAATTACTCTTGAAATCAGAGTTGAATGGATTTTGATACGAGTCATTCCAAAGGAATAGGGAAGTAGGAAACCAATTCTAAGAACATGAAGTTGATGAATTAAGTCATCCTCACTTCTGTCAGTTTTCTTACTCATAAATATTCTTGTACAACTTTAAACTCAACAGTAACTAAACCTCAAAATTATTAGTCTCTAAAATGTCTCTTTTATAAATTGTAACATTAAAATTTAAAAACCAAGCTTTCAATATGATGAAAGGCCCTATTTATTAAGTTATCCCTTTTTCAAAAAGGAAGCTTCATGTCTTTTCAGAACAGAGATATACTAATGGGGATTTTTAGTTATTGAATATATGATTCCAAGAACTTTGAGTAAAAGAATTTTTGACTGTAGGTTTTGATGACAAAACTGTATTTTCAAATTGGAAATTTGAAAAACTTAAATATAGCAAAGACAAAAGCAGTTGTCTCTGAATGTGGGAATCACAAACGTATTATTTTATTTAGGGTCATGATTAAAGTTCTTTTGTCTCTCTAAGATGCATATCAAATAGTGAAAATTGCCCCTGTTATGCCTGTTTTGTCACTATAAAAATTTCTGTGTTCTTAAGGGTAGGAGTACCACTTAGCCCACTGTGGCATTGACAAGGACACTGTGGAGTGATAACATGTATCTTCTATATAATAATTCATACCAAGGAGCCAGCTTTGGTTTTAAGCATTCTGAAAAAAACATGCAGTTAAACTAACACCTGTGAATAATTACCACTTAGAAGTGCTCACTCTCCTTAAGGTAATGTGCTAGGTACTTAATATATAATAATTCACAGAACAACCCTAGTACTATTATATCAAAACTACAAAAAGGAAAATTGAGGAAAAGGAGAGGCTATTTTCCCCAAGTCACATAATTACTTAGCTGGAGAATAGAAATCAGAATGGAGAAATTTCTGGTGTTGAAGCGGGTGATCCTTTCTCTATGGGTGATCCTTTCTCTACAATGTAGCAAAAACTTCTCTGTTGCAAGCACCTCAGAGAATTGATGGTTCAGTTAGGCTTATTTAACCTCAAAAGAATGACACTTAGAGTTGAATTAGGTATCAGATTTGAGACTTAAATTCATTATCCAACTAAATATTGGTGTGCTCAGTATTTTAAAAATATAGTGATAATTATGGTTAGGGAAAGAATCACTTCTCTGAGAAACTACACTCAAGACGCTACTGCGGTAAGGATCGACACATAATTAGTATGTACAAAAGAGACAAGGACGCTTTGAAAGCCCATAGGTTGAAAGTACAGAAAAATATAATTAAAAGAAAAAGAGTAATACTTACACCTTCAGCCACCGGATGTCGCTGTCTTCCACAAAATAGCGTTTTAGAACAAAGAATTCCGCGATTCTCAAGGACTAGGAGAGAGGTACGTTCTAAGATCTCAACTATTCCGATAAAATTGGATGCAAGAAATGGAATAGAAAAATCTGCCTCTTTCATATCGCTGTTTATCAATTTGTAAAGCAAGAAAAAGGAATGATGTTAATCTACAGACTGAGCGTCCACAGAGCCTGGTGCCTGCTGCTCTCCCTTCTGCTCCTCTCAGCCTGGGAGGCGGGGAGCGGCCAGGTCCGCTACTCGGTCCCCGAGGAGGCCAAACACGGCACCTTCGTGGGCCGCATCGCCCAGGACCTGGGGCTGGAGCTGGCCGACCTGGTGCCCCGCCTGTTCCGGGTGGCGTCCAAAGGCCGCGGCGACCTTCTGGAGGTAAATCTGCAGAATGGCATTTTGTTTGTGAATTCTCGGATCGACCGGGAGGAGCTGTGCGGGCGGAGCGCGGAGTGTAGCCTCCACCTGGAGGTGATCGTGGACAGGCCGCTGCAGGTTTTCCACGTGGAGGTGGAGGTGAAGGACATTAATGACAATCCGCCGGTCTTCTCAGTCTCAGAACAAAAGCTCTCCATACCAGAATCTCGGCTGCTTGACTCTAGATTTCCACTAGAGGGCGCTGCTGACGCGGATGTTGGCGAGAACGCAATGCTTACTTACAGACTTAGTCCAAATGAGTTTTTCATTCTTGATACCGTAAACAAAAAAGACAAAGGCAAATTCCCAGTGCTTGTTCTACGAAAATTACTGGATCGTGAAGAAAATCCTCAATTTCAGTTGTTATTAACGGCAACTGATGGAGGCAAACCCGAACTTACCGGATCCGTTACTCTGCTGATTTTGGTGTTGGATGCCAACGATAATGCACCCATATTTGACCGATCCGTTTATGAAGTTAAGCTGTATGAAAACTCAGCGAACCAAACTGTAGTAATATGCCTAAACGCTTCTGATGCTGATGAAGGCACAAACAAGGAAATGATATATTCATTTAGTTCTTTGGTTCCACCCAGCGTAAGGAGGAAATTCCTGATGAATGACATGACAGGAGAAATAAAAGTAAACGATGTTATTGACTTTGAGGACAGTAACAGCTATGAAATTCATGTAGATGTTGCAGATAAAGGAAATCCACCTATGGTTGGTCACTGCACCGTCTTAGTGGAAATCCTTGATGAAAATGACAATTCACCGCAGGTGTTTGTCACTACTTTGGCTCTCCCAGTGCCAGAGGATGCTCAGGTGGGCACTGTCATCGCCTTGATCAGAGTGTCCGATCGCGACTCTGGCACCAACGGGAAGGTGACCTGCTCCCTAACACCCAACGTCCCCTTCAAGCTGGTGTCCACCTTCAAGAATCACTATTCATTGTTGTTGGCCAGCGCCTTGGACCGCGAGAGTGTGTCGAACTATGCTCTGGTGGTGACCGCGCGCGACGGGGGCTCGCCCCCGCTGTCGGCCACGGCCAGCGTGTCGGTGGAGGTGGCCGACGTGAACGACAACGCGCCCGCGTTCGCGCAGCCCGAGTACACGGTGTTCGTGAGG